ATTCTGGACTGTCTGCTTCGGCTCAGGGCTCAACAGGGAGATATGTGTACCATCTGAATCTGAGGAAATCACATTACTCCAGAGTTACCCAGTGTGTGTGTGTGTGTGTGTGTGTGTGTGTGTGTGTGTGGGGGGGGCTGAGGTTAGTTGTCACACTTTTTTATTCCAATATTTCAATGCATGTTCCTTGGGATTTATTTATTTTTTAAAAACAATGTCTTTATGGACATAAACCTTAAAATCCTGGCTACAAAGCCTGAAGTCATACAAACAAATACATTCTACATAATATGCAATGACAAAGGTACAGAGTGGGAAACTGGGAATTGCTTAGTGAATGTATGTACAGTATGTGTAGTACATTATGTACAGTACATGGTCACATGTCTCTTTAGATGCCGAACAGAAAAACACAGTGATTGTGTGTGTATGTGTGTGTGCAAGAAACAGCTTTAGCTTTAAAGAGAATGCTTAGATTTTCAGATTTTCACATGCATATGTTTGCATGCATGTCCACAGAAAAGAAGAATCACAAGTGGGATCTCTTTCATCTCATCAATGAAAAGCATTTGAAGTCTTCTGATGTTTCTCCTGAGAAAAAGACCCCAGTAATCTCTCCTGTAGAGTTTCAAAAGAGATCTTAACATCCCAGACTCGATCAGATTTGCCTGCTGCAGTCAAAGGTCAGAGAGCTCAAACATTTCTCATCAAATAATCTGATCGGGTTCATTCAATAATATTACGATACAACATCTGATTTTAATAAGGTATTAGCCCATTTTAAAATTAACAGATTAATAAATGCTTTAGAAGTATTTTTCTTTGCTAGGTCACGTTAACCAATGTTAAGAAAATTGAATCGTTATTGTAAATAGTTACCATTTAATGTGTGATCACTCCCCATAGGTCTTCTTTGCTAACACATGAAACACACAGTCTGCTCTTGTAAACAACACCATTACCTCTATTTCTCCCACATGACACTCACTGTGAGTGTCATGGCTCACATACATAAATAGTCACTGTTTGTTCACCAAGCAACCAATATACTACACAGTAAATATGAATGTAAATATGACATGCATGGTTTCATCAGATGCCCTGGAGAATCTCTAGACACCTCAAATATCATATTGTGACTCAAAGTACTTATAAATCAATAGCATCAATGCCTTTTCTTTATGATAGGTTTCTTACTGGAGGAACCATTGACAGTCTTTAAGAGTTCTTGCAGAAAGTAATAGTTCATTTGGTTGTCTGTTCTTTATTAAAGGTGCTTACAGAGGTTCTGCAGAAGGATTAATCTTATCATGTTTCTGCACTGTTAATGCCATACTCTCAATACTACCAAACTAATCTTTGATATTAAAACTAAAAACACTAAAAACATCTGGTGTGAGATTTACTTAGAAGCTGTTTTCTCTCAGAAATTGCTAGTAAATTTTACTAACAATTACAAACAAATGGCATGCAATGCATAGAATTAAACATTACATTTTGAAGTAGGAAGACTGAAATAGTATTTTCTTGTTAATTTTATAGCTCTATTCTCTTACTGTATGACAACTACTGACTAACTGTGTATCCAAAGGAATTTTAGGATAATGTTGATGCTTAAATGAATCATAAGAGCTCCATTATATCTCTAGGGTTATAAAAGAGCAACATTTGAGGAAATTACTTTGGGTTTTTCCTTTTTCACTCAGTAAATTTCACTAATAATTACAAAGAAATGACAAGCAACGCATTGAATTTAACATGAAATTTTGAAGTAGAAAAACTGAAATAGTATTTTCTTGTAAAATATTAATTTTATATTATTTTAATTTTATACTATTCTCTTACTGTATGACAACCATTGACTAATTAGTCTATCCAAAGGAATGAGCTCCATTATATCTCTTGAGTTATGAAAGAACAACATCTGAGCAATTTACTTTGGGATTTACTTTGAAACTATTTTCACTCCGAAACTGCTAGTACATTTCCCTAATAATTACAAAGAAATGGCAAGCAACGCATTGAATTAGACATGAAATGTTTAAGTAGAAAGACTGAAATAGTATTTTCTTGTCTTTTACACTGTAGTTCACCCAAAATTTCACCCATATTTGAGTTATGGGCCCTTTAAGTTAATTATGTCCACATTTTCATACCTTTAATGAGTGTTCCCGTCACCAGTTTGCCCACAGACAGAGCAAACTTCACTAACCCGTGTTTGCAGCACCTGGCACAGCCGGACATCCTCACAATGTCCAAACTAGTTCAATATTCAGCTCAAAAACAGATCAGACAGTCAAGCAACAGAGTAAAATGGGACCATCAGAAAGGAGAACCAAAATCCAGGACCTTTGAGAATCAACTAAGTTACACCCACAGACTCGACTGAAAAGAAGCTACGGATGAGAAAAGTGTTTGATTTTCTTCGACAGTGTGAAATCCTGTTCTTTCTCCTGAGAGCTCAGTTTCCGCTCAGATAGGATGCACAGAAATCAATGAAGGATCCAGTCAATGAAACACCATGAAAAGACTCAATATAAGTCCAACTTTGTCACAACCTCTGTGTCCTCCCTTCTTCAAAGAAAAAGTACAAGGACAGGAAAGAAGAGAATGAATAATTAAAGAATGTCAGAGTCCCCCTGATGAAGAGTTACGATCAGCTGCAAACTGACGAAAAGCCCGATTTCATCCGCTTTTATTCTCTCTCTCTCTCTCT